TTCCAAGCTTGGTTCATACAATTTGTATGCTCCAGCTTGAGGGGGAGTGTTAAATATATTATTTTTATTTTATATTTATCTTTTATCTTTAGTTAGTTTGTTATTTCTTATTTGTATTTTGGGCTTAGCCCATATTTCTTCTATTATAAATAGAGGATCCTATGTGTATATTCAACACCAGAGAGATTAATCCTATATATAATTTTCACTATATTTAACTTCTATTTATCATAATGGATAATAGAGAAATTAGAATTACATTTTGATTGAGACCTTTTAGGAAATGTAGATCTAACATGTTTTCCTAGTTCACATGACTTACATTCTAAGGTCTGGAGACCACTAAAAGCTCTAATGGACATAAGAAGTCTTGGTTCCACTGAATGTCATAACAGAGCACACAATTGGAAATTTGCTTGTTTCCACTTGTAAGCTTTTTCAGGAGGCACATGGCTTCTATCTTGTTCAAGGTGATCATGACGTCCTTGGCCAAGAAACCACATCTCAACGGCAACAGAACAAGATAAATATTTCTTTCCATTTAGCTTCTCTAAAGTAATTGAGGGACTTCCAGAGAACGAAATAACACTTCCAATAGCCATTTCTGATTAAAAAAAGTGAGGGAGCTTGGAAACAAAGAACCCTAGGGCTTTTCTTCGAGGGTAGCTTCGGACGTCACTAAAATGAAGTTTTGAGGGTCAGAACAGAGAGAGGAAGGACCGACAACCATTATGGAGGTGGCATGGTGACGTTTTGATGAGCAGAAAGCGGCGCGTGAACAATACGTGCCTGGGAGCAGTGGACAAAGACAGTGTGCGTGGCGGCTAACTGACCATCGACACCGACATGGTTGGTCGTCGCTTGGAGAGGCGATCCATATTCGGTGGTCGCCGGACGAAACTGTGACGGTGGCGCATGGCGGTGGACTGCAGCAAACAGCAGCGAATCGGCAGAGAACAGAGGCTAACAATGTTGGACAACTTCAACCTGCAGTGGACAGTTGTAGAAAGGAGCTGGGCAGTTGCGGACAATGGCTAACGGTGCCGGATAGATGCGGACAACAATGACAGTCATGGCGCATGAGACGAGACAAAAACCAGAGTGGGATCTCGCTTTGATACCAACTTGTGATTAAAATAGAGAAATATATTTCTGGAGGGCTTAATGAACCCCTCTCATAGTTCTGTATTTATATATATGAAGGTTGATACATAGGAGGACTAAAATTTGTCTGTTTTGTTGCTAGATTGTTAGATGATTCTTAGAAGACAGTCTTTTTTCTTAATGCAGATTGATAACCAGGATTCAAAACAAGTAGTGGCTGCCCATAATTCACATGTGATTGCTCTTTCCCTAACGAGTCCCAACAACCTGAATGGAAATCTTTTAACGTAAGTTTTTATTTTATTTTCTGGCCAATAGAGACATTTTATAATTTGGATTCTGTTGCATTGTCTACTCTGTGCATCTAACTGTAGTTAAGGTTTTCTTGTAATTTTAAAATATTGGTACACATGATTAGATTGTTTAGCACAAGAATTTAATTTTTGTTTGAATCCCGGATGAAGGCCACTTGATCTCTGTGAAGCTGAAGAAACAAACCTGGATGTCCCAGCCGTAGGGTATCAAGGTTCTCATCCTGGTGGTTTGACATTACCTCATCAAGGTTCTATACAATCGACGCTTCCCACATCTGGGGTGAACTCTTCCCTACCTGGGGCTTCTGGTATGGTTCTCGGCCATAACTTGTCATCATCATCTGGTTCAGCCATAACATCTGTCAGGTGTGCAGTTTCATTTCTGGTGATTCTTGTGCATTAACATTTTTGTGCATTGCTATACAATCAGTTGATGTGATTGTTTCAGGGGTGGTAGATATGGAATTCCAAGGAATTCTCCTACATCAGTGGATGAGCAACAGAGAGTACAATACAATCAAATGTTATCTGGAAGAAACATTCAGCAGAGCATTTCAGTTACTGGGACTCTTTCTGGAAGTGATCATGGTCGCATGCTTCCAGGCGGAAATGGTATTGGCATAATGGGTGGAATTAACAAAGCCATGGCAATGTCTAGGCCAGGGTTTCAAGGATTAGCATCACCATCGATGCTTAATTCTGGAAGCATGATTTCCTCTACTATGGTTGGGATGCCAAGCCCTGTAAATATGCACTCTGGAGTTGGCCCAGGACCAGGCAACTCAATTTTAAGACCTCATGAGACACTACATATGATGAGGGTGAGAAGTATTCTTATTCCATCATGCTAGGATTGAATTGTTTAAGCTTTCAAAAACTGATAATCAAATTGCCAGAGAGAATTTAACCAGAGAGCCATTTTTTTAAATCTTTGTGAAAAGCCAAAAACAAAGTGATCCTAAGTTGTTCTTGACCTTGAGGTTATGAAACTTGTTTTCCCAACTAACTCAATATTTCTTCTTTGACTGTAATCATAATCGCCCTTCTTAGGCTGTTAGGTGTTTGGTTTATTTCTTAACATTTATGGTGATCTTATTTTATTTATACTAATGACTTTTTCCTATTGCCATTAGCCTGGCCATAACCCGGAACATCAAAGACAAATGATGGTTCCAGAGCTTCAGATGCAAGTCACCCAAGGGAACAGTCAAGGTATTCCTGCTATATGTGGGCTGTGTTCTTCCTTTAGCAATCAGACAACACCAGCTGTTCAGCCTTATCCAGGACATGCACAACAGTCACACCAACTCTCGCAGCAGCAGACCCATCTCAGTAATCCTCGTCCTCATCTTCAAGGTCCGAGTCATACTAATTCACAGCAGCAAACCTATGCTGTCCGGTTAGCGAAGGAAAGGCAAATGCAGCAACGATATCTCCAGCACCAGCAGCAGCTTGCTGCATCCAATGCGTTGCTGCCACATGTCCAGGCAAAGTCTCAACTTTCCATATCATCAACACCATTGCAGAACAATTCTCAGGTTCAGCCACAAAATTCTTCTCAGCAAGTCCCACATTCACCTGTAACGCCATCATCCCCTTTGACTCCCATGTCATCCCAGCTCCAACAACAGAAACTTCACCAGTCACAACCTGGGTTCAGCAGAAATCCCCCCGCTAGTGGGTTGACTAACCAAGCAGCAAAGCAACGCCCACGACATTCACCACAGCAGCCACCACCGCAACAGCAGTATCAACAATCTGGTAGGCAGCATCCTAATCAACGGCATAATGTACAGTCTCAACAGCAGGCAAAACTTATGAAGGGAATGGGAAGAGGAAGTATGTTGGTCCATCCGAACCTCTCTGTGGACACTTCTCATCTAAGTGGACTCTCTCTGCCTGTGGGAAGTCAAACAGGTGAAAAAGGGGACCAAATCTTGCACATGAGGCAAGGTCAAAATATATATCCAGGATCTGGTTTAAACCCAAATCAGCCATCAAAGCCTTTGGGTCATACTCATTCTTCAAATCATTCACAGTTGNGTCACCAACCACTTCATCGAAGCAACTTCATATTCCTTCTGATACTAAAGCTCAAGCACAGGTTTCACCAGTTTCATCAGGCCAGTTGTTGTCATCTCCACCGCCAGCTGTTATTTCTTCTAACCACCATCAGCTGCAGCCACAGAGTCAGTCTAAGAAAATTAATCATACTCTAACCAACGTTCAGAGAATCTTGCCACTAAACCATCCTGTTCATTCAGATTCATTAAAGTCTGATCCAATTCAAGCTGATCAGCAGCCTGCAAACAGTTTTTGCAAGGTTAGCGCATGTGCTACAGTGGCACAGAGTTGTATGGATCCTGTTAGTGCTGTACCAGCTATTGCCACAGTATCTTCTCAGTGGAAAACAGCTGAACCGCCATTTGATTCAACTATGAACAATCAAACCACTCAAATGAGCTCCTTGGGAAGTGCACCTGTTGGAAATTCCACTGGAAATGAGCAACCGACAATTAGTCAAGGGTTGGAGCCAAGATCTGTTAGCTTGACTTGTCATGCACATAATTCTGATACACAGTGGCAAAAACGTCAGGTACAACATCTCCAACAGTCATCACAACCCATCCTATCTCAGCAGCCATATCAGACTGAGCAGCTGCAACAGCATGAGAAAGAAGAATATTCTCCCAAAGATACTGTTTTACAACCTCAACAACATATGCCGCATCTACAATCAGGGCAGAACAGTATGTTTATCCAACCACCTAATTCTAAAGTTGAATGATGCTTTCCAACGGATGGAGCAGCCAAGTGCTCTTTTTCTGTCAGGATTGGAGTTTTTATGCCTTAATGACAGCATTGTACAGGTAATTCTATATTCTTTTACTGTTTAGCTTGTATATGTGCAAATATAGCATTGAATTGCACTTGTTTGTTGTTTGACTCTATTGGATGGGGTAGGTTCATGTTTTTCCACCACATGCATATAAAACACATTCGTCATACATGAAAGCTTTTTCCTGAATGATGATCGTATTAGTAATTGATTGACTTTGTTTACAATATCTGCAGATTTTTCTAAGAAATTATTGCTGTTCTCGAGTGTGTTGAATGGTAATGTGAGAAAGGAATAAATTGGCGTGCTAAGTATATCATTTTAGAACATTACACAGAATCCACTACCCAGAAACTAATTTAATTGGAACCAGGAAAAGTCTATTAAAAAGGTTAATTTGTGAATAATATTATCAAACCGCTTGAATAATGTCAGTTGGTAGTGTTATAATTATAAAATTACAGAACAGTTCCTATATAATAAAGAATATCTAAATTTTATGTTTTATTTGGAATATTTTTATTTATTCTCATATTACTAGAGGATATTAAATCTTCTTGATTTATTGTATTGATTCTGTTTTTTCGATATAAATAAAACATTCATGTTGTCTCAGAAACACATGGTTTCAACTGTCTCTTTCTTTCCTAGAATTTGACAGGTAGGATACCTTATTAGTTTCAATTTTTAATATAATTTCTTCTTGTGTCAGAAAAATTTAAGTTTGTTTCTCACTTCACACATATGGTACCATAGTTAACTTAAAGTGAACGGTAAAAGAACCAACTATAGTTTTTTTATCATTAATGCTACACAAGGTTACTATCTTCAAAGCATGGATAAATCTTTCTATTGAGTTTGACTTTCACATGTTATTCAAGCTCAACTCAATTCTTCGGGATCTTACTTGTAGGTAGTTGATTTTTTTTGTAGATAGTAGTACTATGTGTTCTCTTTTTTTTTAAATATTTTATAGAGGGTAGCCATTGTCCTGAGTTTTTCAAGGATGGATTTGATTTTTCATTTTACACTGTAAAGGATTAGTAGGCCAGGTTTTGTACCCTCACTATATTTTGTATTTTCCTCTTTTTTTGTGATATTCTAAGGTGCTACATATGATTGATGCTGGTGTTAACATAGGTGGGACATACAACATACTGATGTTTTAGTATTAAAAGAAAACATTAATGCGAAAAAAGGTTACTTAATATAAAAACATCTTTTATTCAAGCAAAAATAAGAATTAAATCTAGTCATACCAGTTATCAAGTCCTCTTCCTTTTCTGAAACCTTAGGTTTATCACCTCAGGAGTTTGAAGCTAAAGCTGTTAACTCCTCACCACTTGGTTAAGGAGGCTGTCATGTCTTGTCATTAGCTAACTCGCCAAGGCATGTCAATGGTTTTATCGATTTGCATGATTACATCTCTTAGCAGAAATGTATTTTAAATCATTATTAATGATATTTGTTTCATATTATAGAAATAGTGTCATTAAGTAATTTATTTGTTCATATTATTCATATTGCGGTCTTATCCGTGTTTAATTTCATGAATCCAGTGACGGTAGTCTTGCGCGAAGTTTTCCTTTTAGGCGGATTGTGTTTTTTTTTTCTGTAAGATGACAAAAGAAAAAAACAGACCTCATTTGTGGGGTTTTGGCAGATGATGAAGGATTATTCATGGGACTGTGGAATATGGAAACAGATATGTTTTTCTGCATAGATCCTGTGTGTTGACGAACCGAAGTGTATATTGGAGGCATCATGGCTAATCATGTTCTTGTTTGGCAAATCTTGGATATTAATAGTGTTCTTAGAAGGTTGACCCCCCATTTTGATTTTTGGGAAAAGAGACGAGTATAGAGGTCTTTTTGTATAGGATCGTTCTTGGGTCCTTTGTACTTTCCCCTCCTTTTCTTTTTGTTTCTCTTCTCATGTGCAGAGAAACAGTTTATTTTTGTTTTACTAGATTAGTGAATGTATTATTAATTAGATAATCATTTTATTGGCAAAAGCCATTGAAGCTTTTGTGAAGACAAGTTCCCAATGATCTTGGACTAACATATGGATATATGCAACTT